TAAACTTTGTGTGCCTTTGTGGTTTACTTTTTGAGCATGAAAAGCTGGTTCATCTAAACTTCCGCTTCTTTTTTTCGATTTTATATTGGAGTGGCCAGATTGCTTTTGTCTTCAGAAGTTCCCACAGAGGCCCAAGTCAGATGAGGATCAGATGCTCTCAGGCTTTCTCCTAAGGTCTAGATCCCTCCAGGAAAGATGTTGTCCTCAGGATTTTGAGGGTTGGACTGACCTGGGAGCAGGGCCCAAGAAAAATCCTAATTTGGGGCAGCTGGTGGCCATGCCACCCAGAGATGCAAAGGGAGATGGGGTTGGGAAGAGCCCCCAAGGGCTCCCCGGGACTGCAGAGAAGAACTGGTTTGGTCTGGATGCAAAGGATCAGGAAGCCAAGAGGTCAGCCCTAGTGTCCAGGAAAGAGGCTAGTGGTGTGTGCAGCCCAGGGAAGCAGGGGGAGGTGAGGGAGGGACCAGGCCCAGAGGGCTCCTGAAGACCTGGAGAAGGACCTGGGTTGGTCTGGATGCAAAGGACCAGGAAGCAGTGGTGGTGCCCCAGATGTCTGGGGTGCCAAGACAAGGAATGGGACAGTACCAAGGCTAGGAGAAGAGACAGGCAGGATAGATGGGAGAGTAAATGAGGCTGGGGGAGTCAAGGTGCAGAGGGCGCGATGGACTTAACCAGGAGAGAGGCCAGTGGGTTGTCGTACAAGAGCTCTTTCTGGGAACTTTTCTTTCACAGAACCATTAGCATAGGACATCAAGCAAAGGTAAAAGTCAAGTTGGGGAAAGATGCTTATCCACTGATCTCCTCGTCCTATGACAACATATCAGTGGCTGATTCAACTCAGCCCAGACACTGAGACCTTGTGTCCTATCGTATTACTAGTTCAGAGGAATTTAAAGAAGCTGATTTCAGTAGCTCAGATCACTTGCTTAGTTGAGAGAGCCTGCTCCACTGTCTCCTTTGGTAACCAGACTAACCCTGAACCAGTTGAAATCTAAAGCCTTGTATTATAAGCAGGATGATGTATTTCTTGGGATGTAATACAGTGGCTTAGTTTTTTACTAGGATTGCCAGTGACAAATGGAAATGCAGATACTTGGCTAAATTTTAATTTCAAATAAGCAATGATAATATTTTAGTATATCTCATTAAATATTTAGGACCTATTTATACTACAAATGTATTTGTTAATCTGAATTCATAGTTTATGAACAAGATTGTGTGGGGTGTTCTGTATGAGATACACAAAAAAAATCAACAAATTTTTTAAAAAGACATATTTGAGGAGGAAGCATAAAAAATTTGGGCATGTGGAACATTCCTTTAATCCCAGCACTTGGGAGGCAGATGCAGCAGGATCTTTGTGAGTTCAAGGCCAGCCTGGTATACACAGTGAATTCCAGGGCAGCTGGGGCTACAAGGAGATCCTGTCTCAAAAAGATTTAAAAAAAAAATAGTAGGGGTGATAAACATTACCAGTGAAATCTACCTGATGACTTTATATCCATTCTCAGGTACTTAGGATCCAAGTGTAACCAACTGTGGCTAGTAATAATCAGATACATAGAGATTGAAGACACATGTGCAAACATGTAAGCATTAGTAACATTAAAAATGTAGGAAACAGCATATCTTAAATGGAGATCTTCTTTAAAGGGTAAAAACCCATTCCATTTTAGGTCTTACAGGGTTTGTATTGAGTTCGATATTGTAGGACTGTATTAATTAATTCAACTGTGAACCTAAAAATTTACAGCCACTTTTGAAAGAGATGTATCCTTGCTCTGGAGTGTGTTACTGAATATGTTAAAGCCATAACAAAATGCTTCTTCTAATCATGTGGTTATTAAATTTTTAAAAAATTTTAAAAAAACTTAAAATGAGGAAAAACGGGAAGAAACTTAAAGCAAATTAAGTTAATAAAAATTATATTTGTGCCATGATTTAGTAGTTGTCTTGATTGGATCTTTTGTAAATATGTCAGTTTTATTAATATTTACTTATTAGTTGCTAGACAGCTATGTACATAAAATATAATATCAGGCTGTACCCAAATGATCAAAGTAAAAACTACTAGGTAGATATGGATATTGTTGAATAAATATTGTGCCTTTTTCTTTTTAGCACTGTAACATTTATTTCAATTAATTTTTTAATTATTTTTTAAATTTTATGTGTGTAAGTGTATCCCTACATGAATGTAAGTGTAACCATGTCCTGCTATGCCCACAGTAATCAGAAAAAGACATTGGAATCCCCTGGAACTGGAGCTACGGATGGTTGTTAATCGAACGTGTGGATGGGAATCGAACCTAGGTCCTCTGCAAGAGCAGCCAGTGCTCTTAACCACTGAGCCATCTCTCCAGGCCCCTCAATTAATTAATTTTAAAATCAGTGTTTTTCTATGTTGTCCTGTCTAGTCTTGAATTCCTATGTTCAAGGGATCCTTCTGCCTCAGCTTCCAGAGAAATGGGGACCACAGAGGCATACTTCCACGCCCAGACTATGTTTTACCGACATGACTGTATCTTTGAAGTCCTTTTTGTGTATGTTTTGGTTTGGTTTGGTTCTGCCTTTTTTTTCCCTTTGAGACAGAGTTCCACTATGTAGCCCTGGCTGGCCTAGAACTTACTATGTAGACCAGGCTGGCCTTGAACTCATAGAGGTCTTTTTGCCTCTGCCTTCCAAGTGATGGGGTTACAGATGTGTGTGGTGGGCCATTACGTACAGCCCTGGCTCTGCTTTTTGAGACAGGGTTTCACTATGTAGCCACGCCTTGAATTCCCTGTCCTCCCTCCCAGTCTCTCAAGTACTGAGATTACAGAGATTACAGTTGTGTACCACCTGCCTGGTTTATGTATATGAGGTACAATAAGGAAACAATTTCATCTTCGGCATTTTTAGTGTGACTGTTATTATGTCTTTAATTGCATTTTGTGGCACTGGGGTTTGAACCCAAGGCTTTATACATGCTAGACAAAAGCTCTAGCGATGGGTTATATCCCTGACTCCCCGCCCCCCCCCATTTCACATGTATTACCAAAACTTATGTCCCTGTATAAAGAAAAGGAATATTTAAGATGATCTATTCTGGGCTTCAAATGGAGTTGGGCATGAAATAAATTGTTAACATAGGAATTCAATGATAGGTACTGGAATTTTATTTAAGTATCCTCTCTTCATATTTTTCTATAATAAAATGTTTAAGAGAGAAATTATAAATGTCTGAAATGATAGATATGCCAAGTACCTCAGTCTGATCTTTATACACTATTATGTATTGAAGCACCACATTTTATCCCATAAATATGTATTATTACTATATGTCAATTAAACACACATTTTATACTTACTTGGCAGGGGAGATGTCATGAAAGTTTTCCCAGGCCGAGGCTCATCCAATGCATGCCAGATGTGATGCCCTCCATGGTTTCCCCAAATGTGGGAAACTTGATGGCACAATTGCACAATTTGTGATAGTAGGGATTGTGTTTGCACACACACAGACATATTTAAATCTTTTATTACATTTTATTTATCGTGTGTGTGTGTGTGTGTGTGTGACACATGTGGAAGTCAGAATAAAACTTCCAGGAGTCAGTTTTCCCTTACCACATGTTGGTCTCAGGATCCTAAGCATTGAAATCAGGTCATCAGGTTTGGCAGTAAGCACCTTTTCCCACTGAACCTTCTTACCAGCCCTAAAATCATACCTTTTTAAGGGAATTATTCAAATAATAGAGATCACAAGATGTCCATTCAAGGCACAAAGTACATGTGTCTGGAGGGATTAGAGAGTCAGATTAAAAAAGTAGCCAGGAGTGGAATGAAACAGGAACTAGAGATTGAACCTGAGTAAATTTCTAGACAATCATCATTTAATGGTCTTGCTTAAGTATAGGAATGTACTTACTGCCTTCAAGGCACAGGGATAGAACAGATTCAGGGAAATTCTAATTGTCAACAAGTGCCCAAAACAGCTTTCAGATCTTTATTACTATTGTGCATGCCCTTGGGTACCCTAGGATAAAAGAATCTAAAATTGACTGCATACTAGCTCAGAAATTAATTGGAGTAAAGGGAATAGCAATAATTGAGGCCTACCAGTAATCGCAGGAGCTAAAGTATTTGGGTAGTAGACAATCTCTTTCTAGAGCCTGCTTCAGTTAATAAGATCCTTTATTTTTAATTTTTAGTTTAATTTTTTGATTTTTTGAGGCAGGGTCTTACTCTGTAGCCAGTGTTGGCCTGGAACTCACTCTGTAGCGCAGGCTGGCCTGGAACTTACTATTTCATTCAGGTTGCTCTTGAACCAAAAGTAATCCTCTGCTTCAGCCTCCTGAGTGCTGGGATTACAGCAGTGAGATCCTTTACCATTACAAGAGTTTTCAGATCCCAGTAAAGGTAGAATTTCTAGATCCCCAAATTAAAGAACCAAGGACCATGTTTGCAAGGTTCAATGTGAAGGCAGCACAGGCATCACAGAATTTTGGCTTCCTTGCTGCTCCTAAGAATAGCCAGACCATGTGTAGCAATTTCCAAGAGCCTACATTTATAGAATCTGTTTGCTAAATTCAGGGTCTTCCATGAGAGGTATGGAAGTGTAGGTATTTTGTTTTTAAGAAAATGAGCTATTTATAAACAGATTCCATTTAGTGGATTTCTAATTGGCTTCCTTAGAAATAACTTTTTAAAAAAAAAAAGAATATATTATGTATTATTTTTATTTTGTGTGTGTGAATGTTTTGCCTGAGTGTATGTAAGTGCACCTATGTCATACAATACCCATGGAGGTCAGAAGAGGGTGCTGGATCTCCCTGGAACTGGAGTTACGAATGGTTATTAGCCACGATGTGGGTGCTGGAACCAAACCAAGGTCCTTTGTAAGAGCAGCCAGAGCTCTTAAATGCTGAGCCATCTCTCCAGCTCCCTAGAAACAACATTTTAAGTATTTTTTTATTAATTCTTTGAGAATTTCATATAATACATTTTGATCATATTCACTTCCCACCTAATTCCTCACAGATTCACCCCCTTCACCCCCAATTTTGTGTCTTTTTTTTTTTTATTTTTGTCTTTTTGAGACAAGGTTTCCCTATAGTCCCAGCTGACCTGGAACTCGCTATATAGACCAGGCTGCAGGCTGACCTCAAGCCAACAGAGATCCTCCTGCCTCTCCCTCATGAGTGCTGGAATTAGAGGCCTGTGCCCCCGCACCTGGCTTGTGTCTTTTTTAAAAAAATTAACCCATCAAGTCAAATTTGTGCTGCCCATATACTCCTGAATGTGAAAAAACAGCTTTAAAAAAAAAATGATGTGTATGTTTGTGTGTTTGTGTGAATGTATGCCACATGTGTGCAGGCAGGCCAGAAGAGGGGGGTGTCAGATCCTCTTTTCAGGCAGCTGTGAACCACTCAGCTTGGAATCTAACTCAAGTCCTCTGGAAGAGCAAGAAGCGCTCCTAACTCGTGAGTCATCTCTCTAGCCCCAAGAAACAACTTTTTTACCTTTTTTTGATTTCAGGATACTCTTTCCTCCATGTGGCTTCTGCTCTCCAGGACTGTTTGGTTGTTGACCAGCCCTTTGCTGCTCTCATGCTGACCTCTTACCCTCTAATTTTTTCTTTAATTTTTTAAAAAGTTATTTTATAAAGTAATAGGTTTCATCATGTCATTTTTATACCCATTTTTCTTTTTCTGGGCCTGCTTAAAATTTCCTCCGTACCTTTTCCTGTTCCCATTTACCCTTCTGGTTACCCTTCTGGTATTGAATCCTAGAATCTGACTTAAGAGCCAATTTAATGTAACCCTTTCATTTGACAGAGAAACAGAAGTCCTGCGAAGTTCGGCAATTTGCCTGAGATATCTCAGGAAAGCCATGGCAGAGCTGGGTCTAAAAATGAGGGGTTTTCCTCTAATCCAGGATGCTGTTGCTATGGTTCTGAAGGTAGCAGGCCAGGCACATTCAAGGTGCTTAGGGATGGGTAAACACACAACACCAAACAATGGCTCTCTAGATGAAAAGAAAACCTGGCTGGTGTCTGAGATCTCAGAACCAGAAGTAGGGAAAGAAGGAACAGGCTCTGTCAGCTCAGCGTGGGGTAGGGTTAGGCAGAGTGGAGAGTGAGTGGACAGAGATGGGCGGTGGCTCTGGCTCCACTGTGTCCAAGTCGGCTCCTGTGGGAAGGCCCTTTGGTTGCATGACACTGTCATGGGCACCCTGCGGATTTTACATCACCCAAAGCTATAAATGGTTTTGCATGAGAGAAAAAGGGGGAGGGGGAAGAATTACAGGTCTCCTGCAGGCCACAAAAATATGCTCCACCTAAAAAGAAGCCCATAATTTGGCTGTATCCAGCTGGGTTAAATAAAATTGGAGCCAAGTTTGCCCTGTATTGTCTCAAGAGGTGGCCCAGCATTAGCAGGAATGAAAAAAATACGAAATTGCTCACACTATAGGGTAGATTTTCTTCACAGAGAAGGCTCCAGCAGTTACACAGCAAGACCTTGGAGTCAGCCAGGTCAGGTCTACTAGCTACATTAAAATCACTTCAGGCTATTATTTATAATTTTATAGGCTCTCTCATTTGCAAATTGCCTAGTGATGAATTGAAACAGCCTCTATGACAACAGCTGAGGGGGAGTTTGAGAATTTTAATCCTTCTTTTACTCACGCACCAAGAAATGGAGATAAACAATACCTACCCATTATAAAATCACCTGGATGGTCTGTTTATTTTGGCCATTGCTGGAAATCTGTGATTTGACCCACTTTAGAGTGACCCAAATATTCCAGTTTGCCTGGAATGGAGGGGATTCCTGAGGTGTGGTACTTTCAGTGCTAAAACTGGACAGTACTGGGCAAACAGAGAGATGGCCATGTTATATACTGAATATGGACCTAATTTTTGGTCACTTTATCTGTATATCTTTCTTTTTTTTTTTTCTGAGACAGAGTCTCATGCATCCCAGTATTGTTCACCATCATGCCTGACTTAGGTTTATATAGTGCTGGGGATCAAACCCAGGGTTTCATGTATGCAACGTGAGCATTCTATGAACTGAACTACATTCCCAGCCCTCTTCTGCGCCCCCCATCTGCTTTGCTGTGTTTCAAAAGACAGAAACTAAAACTGAATTTTTATTGCCATTTGATATAAAGATACCTTAAAATAGTATTTGTTAACTTGTACCATTTCAGGGAATTCAAGCACCTAATACTGACCTCTGAAATATTTTGATATTATGTCAAAAAGGTAGCTCAAAGCAAAATGCAAGTAAGAGAATATGATTTCATTTTTATATCAAGTGATCAACTCAGGAACCATTCTCTGTCTCCCTAGAGTACACAGGGTAAAGGTCACACTTTATATCTGGTTTATTTTCTTCGATAGGAGAACATTTAAACATATAAAATTCAGATGGCCACCAGGATAGATATAATGAAACAATCTACCTCTGGCTGAGAGATCCTTTGAGTCAGAATTGTTTCCAACTAGAATAATAGACTGTTTTTATCACCAGCCAGGAGGATAAGAAAGGGCTATGCATGCCAACATTTTTATAGTGCGATGTCATAAACTGGATGCAACTTTCATTAGCGTTACAGGATTAAAAACTCAGAAGGGTCTATGGGAGGCAATGTAAGCACTGGCATGGCCTCCCAGTGTTGAGGTCTCAAGAGACAGGTCAGTGAACAGGCAGGCTCCAAACACACTTCGGGTAACAGTGACAGGTGCAGATTAGACTTTATCTGCAGAATTCCGTTATTAATGCATTCTGTTGCCCTGTGGTGGGAGATAGCATGACCTATTTAAAGAAGGTCAAGGAAGCAACAGGGTGCAAAGAAGTGACTCAGATACAGAATTGGACAGAGAGGCAGGCCAGACAGCCACCCCCAAAGCCAGTTTCTAAAGTGTACTTTCAAGAAGGAAGAAGAAATATAGTGCCAGGCAAATTCAATCCAAATCTCCACACAGAAGTATAAAAATGTAGTCTGGCCTTATTCCAGTAAAGTATACTATGTCTTCCAGAGCAAATAAAACTGCACCCTTCCAAATGTTGCCTCCTACCAGCCCTAAGTCAATTTGAAAGACACTGAAATCCTAACTCACTTGAAAGTCCCATATTCCTTGGTCCATCCTATAAATATTTCTAATACCAAGTACATGCTGGTCCCAAGTGCCCTGTCTTTACCTCTGAGTGACTACTGGTTGTCTCTGGTGAAACTGTTATTTTCTGAAACATTCACATAGAAAGGGCTGGGATAAACACTGTGGGCGTTAAGAGAGGCATTTAAAAGTTGTGATAGCCTATGGCAAGTCTAGAGGTAACTGCAGGTCATACTTTTCCTCTCCAGCACAGTCCTTTCCTGCAGCACATTAGCATCCCTTACCTGGGAAAGGGTAATGTGGGTCTTTGTGAATCAGAGCAATCGGGGTCACTAAGGCTATCTTTAGGCTCACCGCAGCTCAGATCTTCAGCCCCCACTCTTCTTTCTGTCCTAGA